CTGAGATGCTCTTTCTATACCCAATCATGTTATTGACATGTTGCTAATTATAATAATATATATATAATACTTTAAAAAAAACAATAAAATTTCTCAGTTTCAACATTAGATATGTTGTCTTTGTACTATTTTCTATTAAACACAGGGTTTAAATGATTTGCATATCATTGCATTTTGTTTTTATTTACATTTTACACAGTGTCCCAACTTTTTTTGGAAATGTGGCTGCATATATATTTCAAATATATCAGTGTATCACAATATCAAATGATACATTAGCATTTATATTAAAGTCACTGTAAATGGGACATTGTAACTCATCCAGAGTTTCAGCCAGTAGCCCCTCAATAGTTCTCAGCAGAATAGTATTATGGCAGTTTTCCTTAGAGAAGCATTGATCAATAAAATGGAGCGCTCTGGAGCAGTATAAGGTCACCATGTCCAATGCCAAGCATGAGCTAGAGGGGTCTAAAGCCCCCCAGCACTGGGCTGTGGAGCAGTGGAATAGTGTTCTCTGGAGTGATGAAGCTCCATCCAGTACCTTTGGGATGAGTTGGAGTGACCCAGAACTGATCATCCAGTATCAGTACCTGACCTCACTAATGCTCAATCAAATCCTCACAGCAATGTTCCAACATCTAGTGTAAAGCCCTTGCCGAATTTTTATATAGACAGATGCACATATGTGTGTGTGTGTGTGTGTGTGTGTGTGTGTGTGTGTGCGTGCTTCATTACATACTTTCAGAAAAAGGTTTACATTGACAAAAATTCAAACATTTGTTGTCATTTTTAAACAAACAGACAGACTAACACCTATTATGCAGTAATATGGAGAAGAAAACTCTGCCCTCTGCTGGTTGTGTTGGATCGTCATTCGTTTCCTCGTCGGGGAATATTAGGATTAAAATCACTGAAAGCTGAAACCTCTGTGAAACGTGTGGTCGAGTTACATACAAGCTCAGCAGCGATGAATAGAATACAGTACCAGAATACACTGCTCAGCCTCGTCACTGTGAAGGTGAAAGCTGAACTACCAAACACGGCCTGGTGCCGGAGCCGCTTCGTGGGCTTCATGGATTCACCGTCAATTAACCATTTGGAACATGGACACAGTCTGAAACTGAACTGGATTTGGGGGCAACACGGCACCTTATTTTATACAACCAGTAAGATGCATCACCTCCCATTCATTCTAAACCCTTGTGTGGTGTTGGGGTCTATGGGTCCATTTTCAATGTTCACCAAAATAAAAAATGATTTATTATTTTTTCAGCCTCAGATTTTTTGGCCTTTGCTCATTTTTCTGTGAAGAACATATAAAATAACCCATTTTCAGTGTCTTCACTCTGTTCACCCCCACACATTTATATTACACATGTGGTGTTGGGTGAACCCGTGGTAATAAAAGTGTGGAGGTGCTGTGTCCTTCACTCTGTTCTCCTTCTACATGGCCTGCTGTTAGTGTGTGTGTGTGTGTGTGTGTGTGAGGGTGGACAACATGGACAGGCTGCTGATTGGCTACAGCTGCTAAAGGAGAACCCTACGCTGGACACTTGTGATATTTTAAACATCTGGTATTTTTACATAAATTGTTATGGTTATTATTTAACAAAGCAATAATGCGGTGGGTCCACCAGACCACTGAGTAACCAGCACATCAACACCACACAAGGGTTAAAGGGGAATTCCACCAATGTTTCTAAATGCCTGCATAATTCAGTGGTTGACATCATTCAGAGTGGTTTGGTGTGAAATGGTTGATTGTAGAGACTCAGATGTCTTTACAGTGGTGGTGATAGGAACCAGGGGTCACCATGACAACAACACAAATATAGACATTTTATTTACTATCCAACACCACCAGTGAACCTACACGAGAGCTTTACATTTACATTATTTTGCCTCACAACACTAAAATACATTTTAGGTCAAATCTTCTTTTGTAAAACTCTTGTAAAACAGTGTCTCAAACATCAGGCAGTGAATTCATAACCATTTCCTGTAGTAACTTTCTGTGAGGGAGCTTTTAGAGGTGGACGTCTGGTTCCTATCACCACCACTGTGAACGGAGCATTTCACACCAAACCACTCTGAATGACCCTGTTTATATCTCAGCCATTTAATAATGCAGAAATCTTGAAAAGTTGGTGGAATTCCCATTTAACCTAGACTTTGAATGCAACCAGCAGGGGGCAACGTGACCACTTTGATTTCCTTTAGGAAACCAGTAATATAGTTGTTTGTAATCAGTCTGTCTGGTCTGCAGGTTGAATTAAGAATCAACTGTATATAACACTGTTTAAATACTCCCATTGTCCAAAGCGCAGAAGTGCACACAACGGCCCTTTTTCATCAAAGCTGCGTTACAAAAGCGCAGATTTGACCACCTCTAGTGACGTACGAACTTCTCTGCATCTGATTTGTGAAATTTTTTTACAACGTGGAAATGAACCGGGATTTGAGTGCAAATGATGAATTCATTTGCGTGCGCTCATTTTATGATCATATTTGACCGAACACATCTTTGCATAAGTTCATTTCCAGGAAACCTTTGAGGAAGGATTTCATATTCCTCAGTAATTAAAGCAAAACAAAAGGTTCTCGGAAGTAGGACAGTGATTTGTTAACGCACAAAGCCCCAGTCGAGAACTGCATAAACACCAATGGAGCCACCTCAGTAATAGCTTAGAGTTTTCTAACTGTACTGTGCATATTAGTGCTCTGATTTCATGACCCATTAATGTGCAAGGGTCCCTATGAGGGTCCACACAACGTCTCACTGTAATAACTACAGAACCAAATAATACAAAGCAGTGAATGTGAAAAAGGCTTTAGATTAATAACTGAACAACATGCCTTCAGTTTAAGGGGTGTGAATAAACAGTCTGATGCAAATTTACACCCCAATAAAGCCCAACGCTGCAACAAGAGCGATGGTTTAATATTAAAGGGCCCATATCATATTTACTTAACAATCCTGATGTAGTATATAAACACTGATAAGGTTTTTGAAGCACTATTCACTCCCGACTCCATACAGTCCATATGTGGAAACTAAGCTGATAAACAGCCTATTTTAAATTCAGTTTTTCTGATGTCACAACACACTTACATATACCCTCCTATTCCGCCTATAGCAGTTTAGCCCCGCCCGTTCCTGCTGCAGTTATAAGGAGTGTTTCAGCCTGGACTGCCCTTCTGAAAGAGGCAACCTATCAGAACAGAGCTCATTTACATATATCAGTCTTAAAGGCGCAGTAACAAAAACAGCCTTTAATTCTAAAGGCTGTTACACACCGAATGTGACTCATTCCTCTGATTTATTTGGACTGATAACTGATGACATCTTGCACATCAAACAGCAAAAATGCAACATTATTCACCCTCTGTTGGTTTTTTTCGCCAGCGACCAAAACTCACTGACCAATCACGGTCATCTCTGCTGTTGGCATGACGACAACCAAGATAACAGAGCAGCTGTGTTATAGAAAACATCCTGAATGAGGTGGAGAAACTCTCCGCTCTCCTTCCGCTTTTCCAAAGTGGAAAACATCCTGCACACAGTCACAATATATAATTTTTGATTTATAGGATATTCTGCCCATTTTTCACGGTAAAAAAAACAACGAAATTACAAAAAATCGCATTGTATCCGGTGTGTAAATTTTGATGCAAAAAAAAAAACACATTTTCGTGTTGTTTTTTTTTCCGCATCGCGTCCGGTGTGTAACGGCTTTAAGGAATAAAGAGAGGATGGAAAATGGTCATGTTAAGAAAATTAATTATGCCCTTTTTTTGGTACATGAACACATATAAATGTTGTAAGTGGACCTCAGAGCAAAAAATGAAATATAAAAATAAGTTAGTAACTCAGTTGACTTAACATTTTTAACATTTTAACATTTTTAGTTCTTGAACTTCTAATAGTGAGTGAGTGATTTATGCTCTGTTGTTATTCAATGAGCTCAATATTTCAAGGCGACTAAGTTACTAACCTTTCCAAATTAAAACACTGCGTCATGTTTTAGTGTGGGCAGCTGTGGTGCTGTTTGGGGTTATTATGGTTGTAATCTAATGCAGTGGTGCCTTCTCTCCTCCTGAAGCTCTACCGTCCTGCAGGTTTCACCTCCAGCCCAGATTCCAAAAGCCTGATCCAGCTAATCATGGACTTCTGAACACAGCTGAGGTGTGTCATACGGATCAGGTGTGCTGTTAGAGGTGAACAGTGCAGGAAGGCAGATCTCCGAGCGTAGGGGTGGTGCCCGCTGTTTCAGAGCTTCAGTAAGTACGATCACAAACATGAAATGAACCAACAGGCCACTGTAAATCTACTGAGCTTGTTTTTCTCTCGAGCCAAACTTACCAAAATGTTCAAAGTACTTGCATGTTTTAAATCAGAGCTCTGTTAACAAATCCCTTCAGTTTCACACACAGCTACATGTAAAGAGCAGATCCTGAACTTGCATAGTTATGTTTTCTGTAGATTTTAGAGCGCTTAGAGTTACACAACTTAACATGAACCCGTACGGAATCATTTCACTATAAGCAAAGACAAACACAATGAAACATTCAGACACTCAGCTTTCAAAAAAACACTCACCACCGTTCAAAAATTTGGAATCACTGTTTTCAATAATACACAGTCGCAGACGCGTTTAGTAATATTGTATACGGATCATTTTCTACATATATAGTTTTCAGATAATTAGTAGGAAGCTGTAAATGTTAGACGTGTCCAGAGTGAAGAACAGAGCTGCAGATACTGAACTGACTGAAAAGCTGTAAAACATTCAGAATGAAGTTCTAATAAAATTAATATTCAGAATGAAGGTCTAATAAAATTAATATCAAGAATGAAGTTCTAATAATATTAATATCTAGAGTGAAGTTCTAATTAATATCTAGAATGAGGTTTTCATAAAATTAATATCCAGAATGAAGTTCTGACAAAATTAATATCCAGAATGAAGTTCTGATAAAATTACTATGCAGAATGAATTTCGAATAAAATTAATATCCAAGTTCTAATTTAAATTAACAGAATAAATATTCTAATAAAATTAATATCCAGAATGAATTTCTAACAAATTAATATCTGTAATCAAGTTCTGAGAAAATTAATATCTGAAATTAAGTTCTAATAAAATTAATATCCAGAATACATGTCTAATAAATTTAATATCTATAATGAAGTTATGAGAAAATGAACATCCAGAATGAAGTTCTAATAAAATTAACAAATTTAATAATAAAATTAAATGATGCTTTTAAATGCTTATATGAAATTTCTATAAATAGTAAATGACAGTATATTATTTATCGTTTAATAACTTCTTGTTGTTTACCCCTTACAAAGTTGAAATATTGAATAAAACATAACGTTGAATTTATTTGAATCTACACTGTTTAATTATTATGGACTATGATAACAGTTATTAATATGTAGGTGACTCCAAAACTTTGAACAACAGTGTGCATGTAGTGCAAAGACAGATGTTCAGTGATGTGCATAGAACCAGGCGTCACTTTGAGGGCTCCAGTTTGGTCTTAGCTCTGGTTTTGGAGCGAGTCTTCACCTCGGAGGGGTACGTGAAGTCCGCCCCGTGGGGCAGGAACAGAGGGTCCTGGGCGTCGTCCTCTTTCTCCCCCTCCTCCTCCACGTCTGTGTCCGGCTGTTTGCGGTGCTTCTCGCAGTGCTTCTCGAAGATGGACATTTTGTCGAACATCCTGTTGCACACCTTGCAGTGATAGATGCACTCGGCGGGCCGGAGGCGGAGCTTCAGCCGCAGGTAGGGGGAGCAGACGAAGGAGTCCGAGCACACGCTGCAGCGGAGCGCCTCAACAGCGCCGCCCTGGTGGCTCTTCTCATGCTGCCTCAGCACTGAAACTGACCTGAAGCTCTTCCTGCATTTCACACACACGTGCCTTCCCTCTCCTGACTCCAGGGCCTGATGGGACAGCAAGTGGGCGGAGCTACGGAAGCCTTTGCCACATTTCTCGCACTTATAGGGACGCTCACCTAGGAGAGGGCAACATGACAACTTATACAACAGGTAATTTCAGATAGATAGATAGATAGAATAACAAACGGACAGATAGATAGATAGATAGATAGATAGATAGATAGATAGATAGAATAACAAACGGACAGATAGATAGATAGATAGATAGATAAATAGATAGATAGACAGATAGACAGATAGAATAACAAATGGATAGATAGATAGATAGATAGATAGATAGATAGATAGAATAACAAATGGATAGATAGATAGATAGATAGATAGAATAACAAATGGATAGATAGATAGATAGATAGAATAACAAATGGATAGATAGATAGATAGATAGATAGATAGATAGATAGAATAACAAATGGACAGATAGACAGATAGATAGAATAACAAATGGATAGATAGATAGATAGATAGATAGATAGAATAACAAATGGATAGATAGATAGATAGATAGATAGAATAACAAACAGACAGATAGACGGGACGGACGGACGGAGAGATAGATGAATATATAGATAGATAGATAAATAGATAGATAGATAGTTTGAGAAATCCATTTTTAAAAATCCAGAAAACATAATGATAAACAAACAAGAAGAGTTTAAAGAGGAAGTCCACCCATTTTTCAGAATTTCTCCATAATTCAGTGTGTGAGATGTAAACAGAGTCATTCAGAGTGGTTTGGTGTGAAATGGTTCAGATGTCTTTACAGTGGTGGTGATAGGAACCGGGGTTGTCATGACTACAACACAGATATAGACATTTTATTTACTGTCCAAAACCACCAGTGAACCTACACGAGTCTTCTGAGTTTATATGGAATGTTAATGATGGTGAAATAGTGGTAGTGCTGCAGGCAGCATCATCAAAGCCATTTCATGTAATAACTTTGTGTGAACAATTCTAAGCGTTTCACATCAAACCACTCTGAATGACTGTGTTTACATCTTACGCATTTAATTATGCAGAAAATTTGGAAAATCAGGGGACTTCCCCTTTTTATACAAGCATAGTAACAAATCAGACCATGATACAATCATCTTATTTGTTTTTTTCCAAGTGCTTGATTTTCACTCTTGCTCCTCATTACACTGAACAAAAACAACATTTTTTGCACTTATATAATATTTTTCAGCTTTTAATTATTATATTTTAATTTGGGATCTTCTGTTTTGCTGTAATATTACATTTCTGCCGTTTCACTCACCCCTGCGCTCACCTGTGTGCTGGCGCAGGTGCATGATCAGCCCAGCCTTCTGGGTGAAAGCCTTTTCGCACAGCGTGCATTTGTAGGGCTTTTCGCCCGTGTGGAGCCGCTGGTGGGTCTTCAGGTGAGACGCGCGGCCGAAGCTCTTTCCACAGTCTGGACATTTAAAGGGTTTCTCTCCTGTGTGGATGGCCTTGAGGTAGAGGTGGGAAATATGACGAGATTTTATCATTACTGTGATAAATCTGAGTATGTTGTAGGTATGATCAGTACTCCTAGAACACCGAACAACTGCATCTATTATGAAAAAGACAGAAGAATATTCAGACCAATTATAGAGAGCCTGTAAACAACAACAACCAGCGTATAATAACTGTATAAACCGCACTGTAAGACTCAGCTTCTTAATTCTCATTCTTAAGGGAAAATTCCACAGATTCTTCAAAATGACTGTATAATTAAACAATTAAGATGTAAACAGAGTGATTCAGAGTGGTTTGGTGTGAAATGCTGCTCTACAGAAACTTACAGAATCAGAATTGTTTACAGTGGTGGTGATAGGAACCAGACGTCTGAAGAGTTTAAAGGTTGCGTATCATGAAAAATCTAACCTTCTATGCTTTTTTGCAATAATAGATCTTGATGCAGTATGTAAACATTGTTAAAGTGCATAATGTGCCACTAACTCAATCCATACAGTCCATGCATGGAAACTATACTGCAAAACCAGCCTGTTTTGTATTCACTGTTTCTGTGATGTCATCAGAAACAGTTCATTAACACATACACACCTATTCAGCCTATAGCGGTTTAGCCCCGCCCACTCACACTGAAGGCATAAGCGGCGGACTGCTATTTGAATGAGGCAGCGAATCAGAACAGAGCTCATTTCCATATATCAGTCTTAAAAGAACAGTAACAAAACAGAGGGAGATCTTAGAGGCACTAAAATATCCCACATTTTGTATTGTATTTTTTCTTTGAGGTGCAACTATATTTGTGTCGTGTTATGTGCCACAATGGTCATAAAGAGAGGTCATGTAAAAACACCACACTAATATAAAAGCACCTCAAGGAAAAAATACAATACAAAATGTAGGATATGAGCCCGTTAAGTCAAGTCAAATTTATTTATATAGCGCCTTTTACAACAGATGTTGTCACAAAACAGCTTTACAGAGAATCCAGGTCCCCCAGTGAGCAAACCTTGGCGACAGTGGCAAAGAAAACTCCCTCAACAGGAGGAGGAAACCTCGAGAGGAACCAGACTCAAAAGGGGAACCCATCCTCCTCTGGTCAACACCGGATAACAGCACAGACACAAAGCAGTATAAGTGGATGCAGTTTAACACTGCATCCACTTATACTGATGAGAGGGGGAGGGGGGGATAAGGGGGACACTAACTATCATAAGGGGGACAGATAGTTAGTTTAGTGCCTCTAAGATCTCCGTCACAGAAAGTTATTACACGAAATGGTTATGAATTCACTGCCCGATGTCTGAAGACACCGTTTTATGATACTTTTGACAGATTTGATCGATTTTGGGTCTAAAACATACTTTTAAAATTCATTCATGGTGGAGGGGTATATGCAGTGTGGTCCACGGCAAAGTAGCCCCCAAAGAAAACATACTTTTTCAGATTCTCCACTATTTTCCCATCATCAACATATATTCCCATATAAACTCAGAAGACTCGTGTAGGTTCACTGGTGGTTCTGGATAGTAAATAAAATGTCTATATCTGTGTTGTAGTCATGGTGACCCCTGGTTCCTATCACTACCACTGTAAAGACATCTGAGAAACGCTCCTTTCTCTACAGTTAATCTTTTCACATCTAAAAATGTGAAATATTGGTGGAATTCTCCTTTAAGTGCTTTTATTTATGGAAATTTTAAAAGTAAGCACTGTTCTCATAGTTCACAGGCTTTATTAAAAATGTCTTTTATTAAGTGCTGTTTTGCTGCAACACACACAAACCACAGAAGACTGAATATGTATTGCAGTAATGTGTATCGTGTACCCTGATGTGATATTTTGTACCATATCACCCCCCTGACCCCCCGTACTGTACCTTGTGGCGCATCAGGTGGGCGGGCTGAGTGAAGACTTTGTTGCAGACGCTGCATTTGTACCTCCTCTCTCCGGCATGCGTGCGCAGGTGCAGGGCCAGGTGGGTGGAGGAGATGAAGGTTTTGCTGCAGGTCAGGCAGGTGTGAGGTTTCTCTCCTGCGTGAGATCGTCGGTGCAGCACTAGGAACAGAGGACACAGAGGAACAGCTGATACAGCCCTGCTGAGAAACCCACAGAGACCATTACGTTCCTGATGGTCTTGCAATGTGTTTTGGCTTTTGGGTTGATATCACAGTGCAAAGGATCTTAATGAGGTTAACAAGCTGATTCTGAATGCATCTGATGGCTTCCTATTAGGATCTAAAGCTGTTCTATGTGAAACTAGTGGTCGCTGTTGGAAACCATTGGAAGCCAATTAACTATTAGAAAGTAAAACAATTAAGTTTTAACGCTGACGGTTTCTAACAGACCTTTTTCAGCAGGGAGGTGAAACGCTTGGTGGGCTTTTCTAGTGCATGCACACAGTGGTGCTTGTTGACAGGAGAGGAAACGTTTTATTACATCTTATAACATGTTACAGCCAATCTGCTGAAGCAGTGGTAGTCAAAGCAATACCTGACTTGGGCCCCCGCCCAACTTAAGTCATCACCTGCATCATCTGCAAATCTTCATCCTCTTCCAAAGTGAGGTTAACCTTTCCTACACGCCTCTTAATTCCCCTTACAGTCACCTGCTGTTAGCCCCCATGTTCACCCAGCACAGGGGTCGCAACCCAAACGTTAAGAAGAGCCATTTTGTCCCTTCAACAAAAATCAAACCACAACATTTTATGTCCATTTTACCATCTTGGCTGTCAATATGTCTCAGTATGTGCTGATGTTCTAGTTAGTATACTAGTATAGACTAAAAAATATAATATAAACAAAAACACAGACTTACTTTGCTCTTACTTTAAGCTTTAGTTCAGCTGTAGCTGCTTTTCTCGCATCTCTGGCAGGAAACTTTCTGCTAAAGTGGAACAGTTTCTTGTAAAATGTCTCAACATTTGACTTTTTACGAGACTGAAGTCAGTTTCTCGTTCTCCAGCTTCTTCTTTCGAATTTTCCCGCTCCACCTTAAATGGTACCTGAGGCGTCAGAATGAATCTGCTGCACCGTTTAAGGTGGAACGGGAAAATTACAATAAGAAACTGACTTCAGCTTTGCGACTTTTGAGTGTTTGTCAGTTTCTCTGTGCAGATTAAACCAGCTGGAGTGACTATAAACACAAATAAGTCCATTCATCTCTAAATTACCAATGTTTGTCTTAAATCTCTCTCTCTGCCGTTTCGTTGGCTACTAGCTAGGCAAGACTATAGTCTGTGTTGCTATGGTGACCAGCAGTCAGCGTGCCAACCTTCAGGGTTAAAGGGTGAATCAGCAGTTCTACATTAACTCCAGTGTTTAAGACCATTTAGTGTTAAACTGTGTTGAACGATCAGCAGAGCTTTATTTTACTGTAAAGGAGGATTATTTTATTTTTACCTACTAATCTGATTCTTAGATTTGAACCTTTTTCGAAACCTTTTCAAAAAGGTTCTATACAGAACCATCTACAACATATTCTCCATCAATCTGAAGAACCAATTAACTACGAAAAGAACCCTTTAATCATACAAAGAGTTCCTTGAGAGTTCATGGTTCTATATAGAACCATTTTCATTAAGAACCATCTTTTTTAAAAGTGTATAGAACCATTTCCATAAAGGTTCTATATAGAACCATACAGGACACATTCTCCAGCAATCTGTAGAACCACTTCACCATGCAAAGAACCATTTAAGTAAGCAAATGTTTCTGTAAAGAACTCATGTATCTAAGTAGAACTACAGAACCATAGCTTTTACTAAAGAACCATCTTTTTTAAGTGTGTAGGTGAACATATCATAGATTAATATACACTCTTAAAAAAGATGGTTCTTTAAGGGTTCATTAGCAAAGAAAATGGTTCTATACAGATCCATGAACACTCAAAGAAGCCTTTTCATGATAAAAGGGTTCTTTGAATGAAGAAAGGGTTCTAGCGAGGAATGTGTTGTATATGATTCTATATAGAACCTTACTGAAAAGGGTTCTATACAGTACCAAAAAGGGCTCTTCTATTGGAAGAAGGCTGATATGGTAAAAATGAAAGAAACCTTTTTCGTGCTAGAACCACATACGACACATTCCTCATTAAAACCCTTTCTCCATTCAAAGAACCCTTTAATCATGAAGAGGATTACTTAGGTGTTCATGGTTCTATATATATTAAATCAGAAGAACACTTTTTGGTGCTATACAGAACCCTTTTCAAAAAGGTTCTATATAGAACCATATACAACACATTCTCTAATTAATCTGAAGAACCATTTCACCATGCAAAGAACCCTTTAATCATGCACAGGGTTCTTTGAGTGTTCATGGTTCAATATAGAACCACTTTCTTTACTAAAGAACCCTTGAAGAACCACCTTTTTAAGAGTGCAGGTGAACATGCCACAGATTATTGTATCAGTAATGTACAGCATTAATTACTGTTTATCTTTATTGGTAAAGCAGTCTGGGGGGGGCAGCAGAGCTCAGCTGTCTGCCCTGTAAGCCCCCCAGCACATGCAGGATCTACCCTGGCGTTAAAGCACTGCATCCAGACCGAGCTCGTACCTGCAGAACGACGCGCTGGCAGCATTTTCTCTCTCATTAACCCCGAACCGGAGCGGGAGGAGAGGAGAGGCTCATGCTGATCTCGCTGCTGCAGGCCCGGCCATCACCGCCGCAGGCCGGAGCTCACTGTCCCCAACAACACCTCATCCATACACCGGCCCATCTCTGCTTTCTCTCCTCCACGGCTCCGTCCGCGGAAACGCGTCCGATACGGGGCGATATCTGACCGCACAGACCCCCACAGCACCGAGGAGGAAGCTGGAGTGAACACGCCCACCGGAGGAGCCGCACACGTCAACGAGTCAGGAACGAATCACTTCTTTTGAATCGGTTCGAACCGATTCGCCAGTTCAGAATTGAACTGAATCGAACGTGTCTCTAGCTCGGTGCGCCCTCTACTGGCCAGAGCTGAAATAGCTTAATCGGGTCAAAGTTGAACACGTTTGAAAAAAATAACTGTGTTAGATTAACATATTTAAATACATTTTTTTACATTTAAGCTGACAAAATTGTGTGTTTTTGCCCTTAATTCGGTTTTGGCTGGTTTATTTTCTATTTAACAGTACTGTAACAATACACAGCAAATTTGTGTTAAATCTACACTGTGAGTGTGTCAGTGTGTATGTAGGTCCACACAAATTTGGGTTTATGAAGTGATGGTATTTAGTAATAATAATAATAATAATAATAATAATAATAATAATAATAATATTTATTTATAGAGCACTTTTAATGCCGGTGGCAGCTCAAAGTGCTTTACAAACAGGTGATAATGTTAAACAGTCATACAAGAAATTGTAAGTATTAATTTAGAATCATATAAGAAAATGACACAGATCAAATTAGAAGATAAAAAACCACAAGACGTAGATTTTTAATTAAATGCTGAGTTAAAGAGATGCATTTTTAGATGCTTCTTAAAAGTGAGCTCTGAGCTTGACTGTCTAATAGAAGGTGAACTGAGCTCCACAGTTTAGAAGCAGAATAACTCAAAGAGTCTCTCCATGTTTTCTGTATTTTACAGAAGGTGCTTGTAGAAGGTCAGTATCAGCAGATCTAACAGTTACTGTTCCGCAATTCTTTCTGTATATGGGTGTAACACCCATACCGTGTATTTTTTGGAACTTATCATAGTTATACACACTCTCATGTACACACATGTTCACCCCCCATGTTCATATTTATTTATTTATATATATATATATATATATATATATATATATATATATATATATATATATATATATATTGTACAGTAATTCATGCTATACATATTCTTGTTCTATTTTATTACTTTGTTGTTCTATTTATTATTTTTGTTTATTATAATGTTTATCTTGTATATATGCTGCTGGAACACTCTAATTTCCCTTTGGGGATTAATAAAGTGTTATCTTTTTTGGGGAACTGTAATTTACTGGATGTTCCTTGTTTAGTTATTTGAGCTAAAACATCTTAAATGGCCAGGGTCCACCAGCAGGCCCAAAGTTTTACTACACACTTCTATAAGCTCAGAATAGCTCAGTCAGTTTGCACTGAAGTCCCTGTAGTTACTGAATAATAAGCCTTAGGGTGTAATAGGCCTGAGATTTTAAGGGGTTAACAGACTGTGGTTTGGTACAAAGCAAAATAACAGTGAAAATATGTACTTAAACACAAAGTTTTTGAGCATAAGTCTCTGCGATTATGCCTACAAAACACGTGTGCATAATAACAATACAATAATTTCTCACGTTTGTATAACTGAATTTAGAGGTCGGGATTACTTTTGTGTGTCCTCCCAAGCTTCTACCAGAAAACCTGAGTGTTTTTATGTCAAATAATAAGTCCAGCCTCATCACACTGACATTGTGATTGAAGGAATATGTGGCCAAAACCTTCTAAAAACTACTGATGACTCAGACATCCGGCAGTGCATTCATAACCATTTCATGTAGTAACTTTCTGTGAGGGAGTTTTTAGAGGTGGACGTCTGGTTCCTATCACCACCACTGTGAACAGTTCTGACTCGGTAAGTTTCACTAAAGCAGAGCGTTTCACACCAAACCACTCTGAATGACTCTGTTTACATCTCAACCATTTAACTGTGTAGAAATTTTCTCTCACTCAGTATTTATCAACCTCCCCAGAGTGCGAGTGCTATTAATTATGCCTTCAAGAGGACTTCCGCTGATTTTGTCTGATTCCACTGAAATTTTTGCATTCATGGTGGAGGGATACATGCAGAGAGTCGTGAGGTAGTATAGTTCCCAAAGAAAATGTATATTTTCAGATTTAGTACTATTTCCCCATCATCAACATTCCATATAAACTCAGAAGACTCGTGTAGGTTCACTGGTGGTTCTGGATAGTAAATAAAATGTCTATATTTGTGTTGTAGTCATGGTGACCCCTGGTTCCTATCACCACCACTGTAAAGACATCTGAACCATCTCACACCAAACCACTCTGAATGATCTCAACTACTGAAATACGGAGAAATTTCTGAAAGGTTGGTGGAATTCCCCTTTGAATCAAATATGTTTGAGCAAAGAAGCTATGTGGGCCCTCCTGTTCTGCAGCCCTGGACTGATGAGGCTCTGATCTTTAATAAATCTGGACAATTATGTCTAATTGCAGGCAGAAGACACCATAGCCTGCACAATAAATGAATAAATGAATGAATAAATAAATAAATAAATAAATAAATAAATAAATAAATAATTCTAATGCACATAATGACTGCTTCTAAATAAGATGCTTATTGACTGATGTTTGCCTATCACTCTTAAAAAAGATGGTTCCTCAAGGGTTCTTTAGTAACGGCAATGGTTCTGTATAGAACCATGAGTTCTAAACAGAACCATTTGCATGCTTAAATGGCTCTTTGCATGGTAAAACGGTGTGTAGGATATCTATATAGCAGCAGAAAGTGTTCTGCTACTGTTATGATGTCAAGCTTATAACAACAGAGGAACCCTTTTTGGTGCTATATAGAACCACATATAACGTTTCCATCAATCTGAAGAACCCTTTAAGCAAGGTTCTTTGAGTTTTCACGGTTCTAAAGAGCCCTTGAAGAACCATCTGTGGGTGTGGTAGCTGTAGCTCAGATTGGGTATCTGTAGCTCCGTTTATCTGATTAAAAAACAGCGCGTGCGTCACGTGACTTTGCCTGAAGTGGTCAGCGGCTCTTCTCAGGAAACGGAGATGGAAACTGAAGCAGCGGCTAAAAGGAGGACGGCTGTTTCACAGTAAACCGAAACTCGTCTCTCATCCTCTGGTTTCTCCACCGCAGCCTGGCTCACCACTTCTCACCGGGACGCGGCGGGGATGGTCTCCTCTCAGTATCAGCAGCAGCGGGTGAAGACCACCGAGACAGAGAGGCGAGTCTGATTCTGTCCGACCTCACACATAAATTAAAAGTTAGGGGTGTTTTTAGCTCAGTGTTTGTGTTGGACTTTTATTGTGAAACAGTGCAGTTTGTGACATTTTGTGTCTGCAGGAGGTCATAAAGGTGGAACAACGATGAGTCTGTCAGGAAAACAGAGGAAGAAAAAGTGAGTGGTCTGTTAGTAGTCTTAGCAAAGAAGCACTGCCTGAATTTGGCGTCTTGTTCGAATTTTCCGTTCCACCTTAAATGGTGAGGCCGTTGCCTGTAACTTCCGCATCATTTAAGGTGGAACGGAAAATTCTAATTAGAAGCCATTTTTAACTTCATGAAAACCTGTAAACTTTATATATATATATATATATATATATATATATATATATATATACACATATATGTTTGTTTTTATATTGCTGATAAAACTTTGATGTTCCTCCTCTCAGAAACGCATTTGGGGCTACATCCCCACCTTTCATTGACTACTTGAAGGAGATTCTGAGACGGTATCCTGATGGAGGACAGATATTGAAGGTAATTCTCTTGTTGGTTATGATGTATATGTATATCTGTGGCATAACTTCATCATCACATGTAAGATGATGTAATAAAATATTACGCTATTGTCAGAAGATTTTTTTCCAAGTCATTTTATGCTGTTTCTTTTGGTCCATTCATCATGAAATTTGTACACAATATAAAGGTCAACAGGCATTTTTAAATTATGCCAAAAACTGAAAAACGAGGAGATAAGAACAAAAATGGAGATACGAGGTTTTGTTCTGACAGCAACAATATATGTATATGTGTGTGTGTGTATATATATATATATATATATATATATACACACACACACATATATGGGCTTAATGTTACTATATTACTTAATGAAGCAGCTTTTTCCTGGACTGGTGACCGTTAAAGTAAACATGAATGCTAAATCAATGCATTTTCCCTCCCTCCCATTAAATATTTCTGAGTGTAACAAGGAAGCGAAGGTCAGGAACAGAGAGTGAAACATGATACTATTGTGAACATTATTTTGCTCTGCCCAGGATCACAGTGACATAATCAAAAATCACAAAACGCTTTCCAGGCGGGGCCAAAGCCACTACATTTTGATAAGAGATCATAGAAAACAAGAATTATGACTTTTAAACAATATATTTTGAATTGTGCTTAACATGACCAGGAAGATGGACTAACACCATTAAAAAGGGTCAATTTCGATTTGAGGTTGCCTCAAATTTTAATAAGAATTTACTGTAAACATGTGCAACATTGCTTCCCTGGTATATTTATCCATCTTCTTTTCCAAAACTTTTTACTTCTTAAAGTTTTCTACTGTGATTAATATTACTATGGAGTACTATGAGTACTTGTAAGGTCAAAATATGGTCAAAGTAAATAAATAAATAAGTACAGTTGTCGGCGAAAGTTCAGTCAAATAATACGTTTTTTTGATTGACGAAGTAAAACTAAGTGAACACATCCTCTACAGAAAGCTTACCTAAATATGTACCTTTCAGCAGATTTTATGGCACAATTACTGTAAATTTGCTTTTAGAATATTGAGGAAAAACCTTTTAAACCTTTAAAACCTTTTGTGTAAGCTACATTTTATGTTTTATTTTTTTCCCCAGTATGTTGAATACAGCAGAAGAAATTCAACACAACATGTAATTTGTCTAGGGGTGCCCAAACTTTTGCATACAACTGTAAATAAATACCGATGTTAATTTATACACTTCTTTGTACTGTTCTGTGTAAATGGCAAATGGCTTCAGAACATACTATTCGCCCTGTGCCTTGGTTCTCAAGATTAAAATTGCTCTGTGTTGCATAACAGGAGTTAATACAGAACGCAGACGATGCAGGAGCTTCAGAAACCGTGTTCATCTACGACGAGAGAAGATACGGCACTCACAGCGTGTGGAGCGAAGCTCTCGGGAAGTACCAAGGTAGAGATGCTGGAATGTTTTAAAGGGGAGGTGAAACACTGTTGGTTAATCTTATATTTTCATTTACAACGCTGAACTGAACAGTATTTTACAGGCTTTCAAAACTCGTTGCTATTTCCAAATAAGTAGCCGAATTCCTCTTCTCAAAATGTTTTTGGTCGTCCACCTGACGGAAGAAAGCTGCATTTATTGTTTCTATCGAAGCTGGCTGACATGCATCTTAGGTCTGTCAAAACGCAAACACCTTTTCAACCTCTCTGCTTTTATGCTTCAAGTCTATTTTTCACACCCCACTATTTTCAACTCCACCTCTGGCTCAACTTTGAAAAATGCTCAAAAATGGGCCGGGCACACTGGGAGGGGCACTGCAGTGATGTACAGGTTTAGGGGTGGGGCTGAGAGGGAAACTGGGTGGGCTGGGCTGTTTTTGTTCAAGGAAATATGGAGAGTGACAGAATCAAACGGCACTTTTGCAACTGAGAGTCTTACGAGGCTGATTGTTTTTCTCCACTACCATCCCCATCTTCGACGAGGGAAGGTGTTTCTGATAAGGCAGGGTGTCTTGAGCCATAACAGTATGAGCTACTGACTCAATCCGCCGAAAAGTTAATGTAGTGACAGAAAATCAACAGCGAGTTCATAGCACGTACCGGTGTTACATCCGATTCAGTTCCCACTCAAATTCATGTTTTCTTAAAGCATTTAATATCAAATTTGATGGTGTATTATTACCTTTTACTGGGCTGGAACGCTCATATGAGCGTTTTCATTTGAATGGAGAGATTTTCAGAAACACGGCTGGTCTTGCTGGACAAAGCATGAGACCAACTGTTGATCGTCTTCCATCAGCTCACCATCGTCTCGTCTCTTGAGAAAATTTGCACTTGAACACGTTGCTAAGACTAGAGCTGACATGCACATACTTAAGGCGCCTGCGCAAAACTCACAGTAGCAGTAGCTGCAGAGGCCTACAGAACCAGAATATACAAAATGAAGAACAGAGCTTCAAATGCCAATGTTTAAGCTACATCTTGTGTGTAAAAGTGAAGGTAAACCACCTTTAGCTTGGTGTTCTGTAGGTAGAGAAGACTTTTTTATTTGGCGTGTATCAGAACATCTTCAGTGCTCTTGTGTATCCATGTTTATTCATAACAATATTAATTTTTTTTGTTGGGAATACAATATCAAAATACTGATCATTTACAAATTCAGACACTTGAAAAGCAATAGTAGTTAAAACGCTCTTCTCTAGTAATAAAACTTCAGTATTTGTACTGGTGTTGAAAAATCATGATATTCTTTGTTCTTTTGAGATCACTGTTTACTCGCTTTGCTCTCTTTCTCTTCTTGTGTGCTCCCTCATGGCCGACTGCCAGAGCACATTTAACATGTTCAATCAGCCAAAACAGGTCTGATGAGTTGACTGGAGCCAACAATGAGGGACACGCCGCACAAATTACTGGCAGCTAACGGCCTGGCAGCATCCGACAGCCAACAGAGGGCTTGGTGTGTCAGGGCCTGAAATAATTAAAATAATCTTTCCAAGAGAAGATAACAATTTAAAGAAAACAAACTAAATAAGGGATTTCACTTCTTACACGAAAAAGTGAAATGTGCAACATTATTAAAATAAAAAGAAGCAAATTTTGCATTATACTTAATTGCAGGTACACTTTTAGAAAAAAGATAAGAAACTGTAACTGGGTCAGTGCCCCTCTTGTCACTGGGGTGGTTCCCTCAGGGGTACATCTCAATACCTTTAGTCAGGGAACATAACTGAACCATAATCCACTGAAATTATATAGTGATATTGTGATGATATAAGTTGTGTTGACTCCGTACACGCCGTCTCGTCTCCAGGCTTTTTATTTTATTGTTCTGTTTTAAAACATTAGGTTATAAAAAGGTGTAAATATGTTGTCTTTTCACCTGGAAAAAAACTTTTAAGACCTGTAAGGTTCACAGCTGGACTTTAAAACCACTGTTGTACCTTTGAGGGTACATTTATATTGTTTATACCTTAATGAAAGAAAAATGTACCTTCACAGAACCTTTATTTCTAACAGTGTATTTGCTGTTTTAGTTTATTAATAATTAAACAAATCTCTTGTTTTTGGCCAAAAGGTTCCCAAAAGGCTGATAACAGGGGGATTATAATGTTGTTTATGAGCTTCTGGAAAGTAATGAATTTAATTGAGAATGTTGTGTTACACATAACCAGTTTTGAAGATGGCATTGCTAGAAAACAAATATCAGTTTATCAGTATTGCGCTTGTCTTTTTTGGGGGGATTCATTAGAAAATCACCCCTCACTAACTCTAACATGAAACATGCTCTTAAAACATGCTCTTTTCATATCATTCCTTCTATATTTAACAGTTAACTAAACAGACAGTGCTCTCATTTCTTTATGACTAAAATGATGGAAATTTCAGCATAGTTCTTATATTCCTCTCTGGAAACTGAGTTACTAATTTGTTCTTCTTAGGAAGCTCCAATCTTCCTTACCAGAACAAGTCAGCCCAGTCATTCCACATTTTTCCTTTGTTCCATCCAGCACACCTGAGACAGGTAATCTGCAGCTCCCAGCACTCAGGGTAGCCAAGTAATCAACCCCTTATTATTAAACTTAGCTGTGTGTAGGGAGCAAGATTAAGAATGGAAGAAAGTTTAAAGACCCATCATTAGTGCTTTTGGTTTCTGCCAAAAAATAAATATTTCTGTAAACTATTGGTCACAAATGGCCTTAGCCATTGAGCTTCAGGTATGTCACAGGGTGGAACCTACATGCAAATTCAAAGGCCACAAATTCTGGAAACGCAGATCAGGGATGGGCTTGGCTATCTGAATATAAGGAAATATCTACACTCATCACAGTATTCACATAAAGGTCTTAAACCACGCTAAACACATGAACATAATGATATTCAGCGTTAGACTTTGAGTTGAAATGTTTACTCAGCAAAACTGCAACATATACAAATGTCAGTTGTTTTTTTAGTTAGACTAAAAAGTAAGTTTTGTGAAGCCCAGCATGGGTTAATGAATGTACACCACCGTTAGCTCAGCACCAAAATGGAAACACATGGAAAATCCCATAGAGGCACTAGTGGAAATTACAACCCCAATTTCAAAAAGTTTAGGATGTAAATAAAAACAGAATGCAATGATTTGCAAATCTCATTTCATTCACAATAGAACATAGAACACATATCAGATGCTAAAAGTGAGACATTTTACCATTTCAAAACATTAACTCATTTAGTCTCTCAGAAGCAAAGATGGGTAGAAGTTCACCAATCTGTGAGATCTTGTGGAGCAATTTCAGAAAATGTTCAACATAAAATTGCGAAGGCTTTAGATATCCCACCATCTACAGTACATAACATCATCAAAAGATTCAGAGAATCTGGAGAAATCCCTGTATCCCTGCAAGGGACAAGGCCGACGATCAATATTGAATGCTCATGATCTTTGGGCCCTCAAGTGGCACTGCATTAAAAACAGGCATGATTCTGTACTGGAAATCACTGCATGGGCTCAGGAGCGCTTCCAGAAATCGTTCTGTGTCTGTAAACACAGTTCGCCGTGCAATCCACAAATACAAGTTAAATCTGTATCATGCAAAGGAGAAGTCATATGTCAACATTCAGAAACACCGCAGTCTTCTCTGGGCCAAAGCTCATTTAAAATGGACTGAGGCAAAATAGAAAACTGTTCTGTGGTCAGATGAAACAAAAATTGAAATTCTTTTTGGAAACCATAGACACTGTGTCCTGCAGACTCATGAGGTGAGTGACCATTCAGCTTGTTATTAGCACACAGTTCAAAAGCCTGCATCTCTGATGGTCTGGGGTTGCATTAGTGCCTATGGCGTGGGCAACTTACACATCTGAAAAGGCTCTATCAAAGCAGAACAATATATAGAGGTTTTAGAACATATGCCCTCATCCAGACAGCGTCTCTTTCAGGGAAGGCCTGGCATATCTCAGCAAGACAATGCTAAACCACATACTGCATCCATCACAACAGCATGGCTTTGCAGAAGAAGAGTCCAGGTGCTGAACTGGCCTGCCTGCTGTCCAGACCTTTCACCAATAGAAAACATTTGCCGCATAACGAAACAAAAAATCCGGCAAAGAAGACCCAGGACTGTTGAGGAGCTGCATTCCTACATCAGACAAGAATGGGACAACATTACAAGATTTTACAAGGTTGTAGATCAGAAAAAATGCAGTACATGGGCCCTACGAAGAAAAACTTTAACTACTTCATTCTCAGAAACGTCTGTCTGAAACAGACAGTTAGATTTTATTATGATGTTTTACAGTCTCTCTAGACTCTTTTTGAATATCATGGTACAGACTAGCCGAGTGTTTGCTGTGTTCAATGATTAACCATTGATGTCTCATCGTGCTTGAGCATTTAACGCTTTCAGACTTAAATTATGTCCCTTAGCACAGTGATGTTTTTCTCATTTTTTTTCTAAAGGCAGCCATAAATGATAAAGCAAATATCAACATTTGTTTATAATTACTAGTTATTTATGATGCCCATAATAAAGCACGCTAGTTCTGAAGAGTAGCAAAATTCCAGTATTAATATATAATAATTTAAAGAGTTATTGCAAGAACAAATGAACACAATCTGGATTTACAGAGGTTTGTTTTGTCTTTCAAAAATGCAGTCATTACAATGAATAAAACATTACATATATAGTTACACTTTGGATACACATATTCTCCTGGATAGCTAGAGTTCCATATGGTGTGCGGATTCCCGGTTTTGGTGTGGCTTAGTGGTCAGAGCTCTGGGCAACTAAACGTAGAATTGTGGGTTAAGTACCTGGTTTTGTATTGTATTGTAAAACCAGTACACTCAGACAAACAACAGAAGATGACAAATGCTAACAAAGCTAAAGCGAGCTAGCAAAGGGCTAAAGCTAGCTAGTAGAGGGCTAAAGCTAGCAAAGGGCTAAAGCTAGCAAAGGCAGAGAGAGTCAAGATAACAGCAAACCAGACACCAAACAAATGAACCAAGAGTTGCAACAGCAGTCACATGACACTCGGGGCTGATGACAAACTCTGGCACACTGCGTTTAAAGTCAAAGCTCCACCTCCTTGGGCTCAAATCTGCAGGCTGATTGGCCAAAAGATGTCCAGGAAGTGATAGACCTCCCAGGCAACCTCTATGGAAGAGAGACAGCCAAAAGAGCAGGAAAAGAGCAACAGAGAGGGGAGAAAAACAAACACACGTGCACAGGTACTGACACGTAACACGCCCACCCCAAAGAGCAAACCTGTTTGCGAAAATATAGATTAACCATATCAAAATGTGGACATGTAGCACAAAGTCCCAAACACTCTGCTGGGCTTTGGTTGTCTGATCATGACTAAAGGGTGTTTCATTCATAGTATTTGCACTATGCACAAGGTTAGGTGAACATGGAGTTACACCAGAGGACGCATAGCTCTGCATAGTAGAATTGGAGTCAGACAAATCTATACCTTCCAAAAGGCAAGACTGAGCAGGTGTCTCAGCACATCTGGAAAATGGTGCAGAACGAGTATTAACCAGCCTATTAGACAAAGGAGAAACAGGAGTGTCTGAGGAGTCTAAAGAAGGCAAAACCTTGTTTCCTGCAATGTCATTACCCATTACAAAAGCAATATCATCCACAGGTAGAGATTTACACACACCTACTTGAAACATCCCTTTTACCAAGTCAGAACAAAGGGAGACTGAATGCAGGGGCACTTTAACAGACTGCATAGCTATCCCCTTACAAAACACATGAGTTCCGCAAAAAGTCTGGTCGGACAACGGCAATACTCCAGCCAAAAGGAGTGAGTGTACTGCACCAGTATCACGCAGAATTGTAATAGGGACCTGAATCTGCTCCTCACCTGGCAATGAAACAGCACCTCTCATTATGAATGGTTGGTAGCTTGGATCAGTAGAACTGTTCACACTTTCCACTGTGGAACTGACAGAAGCTACAGTTTTAACCAAAGCAACACCCTGGCTTTGACTAGAGCTCTACTTTTGCTTTTCTTCCTTCTTTTTTTAAAGCTGAGCAGTTTGCAATAAGATGGTCAGTTTTATGACAGTAAAAACACTCCTTTGGACGCAAAGGGGAACCTGACCGACCTGACTGGTTATGTGGTAGCCCTATAGATTCAACATTGACTTGCTTAAATACATTTCTGTGGGTTAGAACAAATTCGTCAGCCAACACAGCAGCTTCAGACACAGAATTAACCTTTCTTTCATTTAAGTAGACTACAACACGATCTGGCAAACAATTCTTAAACTCCTCCAACAAGATTAACTCTCTTAGCGACTCAAAGTCGGTAACTTTGCTTGCTGAACACCATTTTTTGAACGTAATTTCTTTGTCTCTAGAGAACTCGACAAATGTCTGGTCTGGACTTTTCTTATGAGATCTAAACTTCTGTCTGTATGCTTCTGGAACCAACTCATAAGCTCTAAGAATTGCAGCCTTGACAAAGTCATACTGCAAACTTTCTTGCAGAGATAAGGACAAGCAAACCTCCTGTGCTTTTCCTACAAGTTTGCACTGGAGCAACAATGCCCAGACATCTCTAGGCCAATTTAATGCTGTAGCTACACGCTCAAAAACACTGAAGTAAGAATCTACTTCAGCTTCCCTAAAAGGTGGTACTAACACCATGTGCTTAGTTATATCAAAAGGAACGGTGACAGAAGGTGCAGAACGAGGCACAGGGACAGGCCTTACCAAAGGTTTGGGTGGAGAGGACACTAGGGACGGAGAGGGTGGCGGCGGTGAAGTTTCCGGCCGGGCAGCAGTCTGCGAGGTGATCTTCATCGCCTCTAGGTCCAGCTCCCGCAGCCGAATTTCCTGCTTAACCTCTAACTCCATCTTATGTACTGCCAGCCTCAGTTCCACATCCGCCCGACGAGCTTGCTCTTTCTCTTGTGCCTCGATTTGGAGGCGAGCAATCCGCACTCTAACACGGGCTTTGTCCCTTGATCCTGCAGACACAGGTGAAAAAGGATCAAAACGAGGCAAGGTTGCCCTAACTTCAGCCTCAGGCCTGGCCTGCTCTGCAGTTGTCTCAACAGGAGGGGTGACGTCCAGATTCCTGACTTCACTATCTGAAGTAGCCACCACTGTCTCAACAGGGGGAGGCATTTCTAAAATTCCTAGCTCAGCAAGCCTAGCAAGAACTCTGCGCCTAATTTCTTTTTTAACCATATGCCTTGCTGCTTGAACTCCATAGTAAGCTGCAATTTCTAGTAAAGCATCCTTACGACAAGTCTCAACCATCTCCAGGCTTGGGGAAACAATGAAAGTCTGCAAGTCAAAAATTGCCATACTGCCAATCTATACACTGACACTGTACCACAGTAATGGGACACCACCTCCAATCTAACGGGATACATAAACTATCCTGGACGAGCCCCCACTTGTTGCGTCCCTACCATAGGCTCAGGTCTAGGAGGAGGTAGGGACAGTAACTAAATAATGGAAGAGCACAATAAAGGGGTACAGAGACCAGTATAAAGCAGCTAAGGCTTTAACTGTTTAATTATACAGACAAATAAAAAACACAAACAAGCAAGTTACAATACAAATAACAGGGTACTGTTATGAAAAGTTGTTATAGTCATACTGGCAAACTGAGCAATCTACCCAGGAGAGGACTACAGACAGTACCAAAGGAAAGAAATGAACAAAACAGATCTAGTCTAAACTAAGAGCTAAACAGCTCTAGCTACCACCCTATGCTAAGCTACTAAAACATACAGGGAGTGGTACCTGCCTCTAATCTAGTGTGTTTAGACAATCGTGTACCTACGGATGTGAATGTAGGTGCGCGCACAGTCTAACCTGCCCTTCCTCCCGGGAGAAAAGCACCAGTTTGAGAGACTTTAAAACCAGTACACTCAGACAAACAACAGAAGATGACAAATGCTAACAAAGCTAAAGCGAGCTAGCAAAGGGCTAAAGCTAGCTAGCAGAGGGCTAAAGCTAGCAGAGGGCTAAAGCTAGCAGAGGACTAAAGCTAGCAAAGGACTAAAGCTAGCAAAGGACTAAAGCTAGCAGAGGACTAAAGCTAGCAGAGGACTAAAGCTAGCAAAGGCAGAGAGAGTCAAGATAACAGCAAACCAGACACCAAACGAATGAGCCAAGAGTTGCAACAGCAGTCACATGACACTCAGGGCTGATGACAAACTCTGGCACACTGCTTTTAAAGTCAAAGCTCCACCTCCTTGGGCTCAAATCTGCAGGCTGATTGGCCAAAAGATGTCCAGGAAGTGATAGACCTCCGAGGCAACCTCTATGGAAGAGAGACAGCCAAAAGAGCAGGAGAAGAGCAACAGAGAGGGGAGAAAAACAAACGCACGTGCACAGGCACTGACACGTAACAGTATGCATTGTGTGTCTATACATGTGCATGTGTGCTAAGCATGTATTTTTTCTATTTCTTTGTATTGTTAGGAATCCATAATATGGTGATACAAAAATTTGAAGGAAAAATGTAACATAAACAAAGCAGTTTCAATTTTGGATGGTCAGTTTTCACAGTTTCTTGGATGGTTCTGAAAAAAGTTAGTCTGGAGCTCTGGTATTCAATACCCCTTTGATGTTTTGGCAGGACCTGCTCTCTACGCTTTCAATGATGCAGCGTTTACTGAGGAAGACTGGGAGGGCATTCAGCGAGCAGGAAGAAGCATCAAGCAAGACGATCCAACCAAAGTGGGGAGATTTGGGATCGGCTTCAACTCTGTTTACCATGTCACAGGTGAAGAATTTACCCTGATTGTAAAATAATGCCCAGTCTGTAGGTGTCTGCTTTCTCAGTTTACAGTCTGCATTTATATTTTGTCATTTCTTTGGTGCTTTTCTCTTCCTGGTCACTTTCCCTGCTCTCTAGATTAGAACATTGTCAAAAGAACGTCATATCTTTTTTTCAGGAAAAAGAAAAAACACATTCTTAATTTGTAATTAAAGATATTTTAACAAGATTTTCCCAGTAATTCTGGACTGTTTCTGTTATTCTGTTCATCATGAAATTTTGACACAATACAAAGGGTCACTACACTTTTAGGACAGACGTGTTAAAAACAACACATTCTGTCTCTAACTGGACAGATTAGTGTGTGTTACTTTTAACAAAAATGTGTTGAATCAGGAAATAATATGACACAAAAAGTGTTCAAATGTGTAACACAAGTGTGTTATCATTTATCATAATCCCTTTTTAGAGTGTAGAGTTTTCAAATTGTATATGTATGTAAAAAGTAAAGAATGACAAAAATGGTGACAAGGTTTTTGCTTGACAGCGACATTATACAATAATACAAGTAATAGTTTTGGTATTGGTATCGATGGGTTTGGGTATTGTGCTGTTATTAGCAGAAATATATTAGAGGGAAAAGAATAAATGTTATCCAATCCTGTAACAAACCTATCCTGAAACAGCACTAACTCACATTGTGTGATGTGATGTTGTTAACCCTGTAGTTTGTCCTGTGGGATTGAGTAGTTTCAGAATGATAGCCTACTTTTTGATCATCATCTATAGGGACGTGCTTCAGTTTAAAGTTTAATCAAGGTTTCAATATCAGTATCAGAAAAAAAATGTGGACCCTTTTCACATTTCTGGATTCTTACTTCCGACGGTTTCTGTTAGCAGTTTCTGGTCGAACCAAAACAAATGGAGCAGTCATTCGCTAATTTGCAGTAGTTTACCTTTATTTTTTGGGGGGATTTTTAAAATTTTCTCCCCAATTGAGTTGTATTCAATTCCGCCCACTAGGTAGCACCCCCCTCGTCACACAATACAAGCTGTGCTAGGAGGGCAAAAAGCAAACACAAGCTTCCTCTGAGTCATGTGAAGCCAGCATCACTAGGGATTGAACTTGCAATCGCCTGATGAAAGGACCAACGCTTAGATAGCTGCGCCAGTTTTTTTTACTATAATGCTTATTATTCATTATTAAAGAACATAACAACAGCAAACAATATACAATATTCACACAGAGAGAAAAAAGAATGGCAGCAAATAAAATGGTCATTTAGAAAGGAAATGGGTTAAGATAACTGTTTAAAATACTTGATTTTTTGCTCTGTTGATCCATGCAATAGTTGCACCACTTTTTAATGTTAAGAGACTAATCATTTCCAATGCAAGACGTTCAGTGCATTTTAATCACTAATTTAGATATTGCAATTTCAGCAAGTCAGATTTTTCTTGGTCTGCATTGCATGAACTTGCATGTCAAAACATCATGAACTTAGAAGCAGGAAACAAAGTTGTATAATGGTATATAAACAAACACTCACATTTCTTCTTTTTTTTATTTGTAGACTTGCCATGCGTATTCAGTTCCAAACACCTTGCTGTTTTTGACCCACAAAAGACAATGTTCGATGATGAGCAGGAGGGCTACCGATGGTCACTGGATGATGAGGAGGATAGAAAGCACCTTCTGGAATACACAGATCAGTTCAAGCCTTTTCAAGATATTGTTGGTCTGGTCTGCGACTGTGCTTGGGAGAAAATCATCAGTGAGCATTACTTCAAGGGAACACTTTTTCGATTTCCGCTTCGCAGTGAAGCTTCTGAGATTTCCGATAATTTATACGACTCCTTGAAGGTTGTGCAACTCTTTGACAGTTTCATCGCAGATGCCGAAATCAGCCTTCTCTTTCTGAGAAATGTGACATCCATTTCTTTGATGCACATTGACACGAATGGCACTGTCAACATTAGGATGAAAGTTTCTGTCTCATCTTCTTCAAGTCCTCTCCCTCAAGACAGCAAGGCGCATGATTTCCTGAGAGAATATGTAGAAGGTGTAACCAGCTTTAAAACTGTGTCCTGTGTTTCACCGTCTGAGCCTGAAACAAAGACCAAGTGGCTAGTGACGACCTGTCTCCTAACGGAAGGACGTGTACCGGAGATTGACACCCTTGCTGACAAGCTGAGTTTTCATCCTCAGGTTGATGTAGCATTTCAGTGCGGCGAAATCAAAACGGGTGTCACTGGAAGACTGAGCTGCTTTCTGCCCCTTCCAAACAATGAGACAAATAACACAGGCCTCCCTGTTCATGTTAACGCATGCTTTGGCCTTACGGACAACCGAAGGTACATCAAGTGGCAGGAGGAGGACCAGAAGAACGATGAATCGGCAATGTGGAATGAGCTGCTAAAGAATGAAGTTCTTCCTCATGTATATCTCAAGATAATCCAGGACGCCATTCAATTTTCCAGAAAGTCAATGCTGCCCGTCAGCACTGTGTACAGTCTTTGGCCTGACCTGAGCAAGACTGAACAAAGGGACCGATGGCATGAGGTTGCAATGGAGGTTTATAAACAGTTATTCACAGGTAAAAACATCTTTTCTCTTGCTGCAGATGAGGAAGGCTGGGTGGCTGCTTCAGAGGCTGTTTTCCCAACCAACAATACGGACACAGACACAATGTCAGCAGTTGCACGGTTATTGATTGCAGAAAGAGAAAACCTTGTCACTGTTCCTGAACATGTATTGAAAGCTATACAGAGAGCTTTCCCCGAACCTGCAACTCTGCAATGGGTGACACCGTGCTTTGTTAGAACTGTGCTCCGCAAAACTGAGATTGGAAATGTCTCTAAGGATGACAAACTGTCCCTCTTGGAGTATGTGCTCAGTGATGGGAAGTATGAGGAGCTACATGATCTGCAGCTTCTGCCACTTAGTGATGGAAGTTTCAGGTCATTTACCAATGAAGAGGAGGACACAGCTTTGATTGACAATGAGGATTTCTCAAGGTAAGAGTAATTACACCAGGGGTGCACAGCTCCAGTCCTGGAGGGCTGGTGTCTTGCACAGTTTGGTGATTTTCCTGCTCAAACTCATGTGATTTAACTCATCTGTTAAATGCTGGTTGAGTAGATCTGTTTAAGTAGGGAAACTAACAAACTCTGTTGGACACTATCCCTCCAGGACTGGAGTTGAGCGCCCCTGAGCTACACTGATTAGACACCTTTTAGAACTTAGAATTCATCTTCAATGTATCTTCATCTTTTGGCCTTGTAACATGCAAATTATTCTTTCCTAGAATGCTGCTGCCTTTTTGCAAAGAGAGATTTTTGCGTGATGACCTGAACACAATCGATCATCTCAGACAAATGGCCATGACAAGTATGGACATTTATGCTTTCAATTATTTGAAATTAGCATATTTAGGGCTGGGATCACCTATCCATTCATGAATTACATGGAACTCCTCCTTGTCTTGTCTCGTTAACTGTCACAAAATCAGAAGGTAGAATTTGTAGTTCTGCGCCCTGATCCATGACCTGAAATGCCAGTCAAGATTTTACTTCTTTTACACACCCTAGCAGTGAGGTGTCCTTTGATCCCCTCACAGCATGAACGCATGTCACTGGAGTGCTGCCTTACAGGAAAATACATTCCTGCTGCTATCAGAGCTCAAAATATTATCGCAGTATAGACTGTATGTGAACAGTGTTTTTATTTGATGTAATGACCAGGTCATAATGTTTCCACACTGAAATTGTTCCCGATACTTTTGGAGTTTCCCTTTAATGAACATTCTTTTTATTTCATCTCTTGAGAAAAGTTAGCATGTGTCAGACTAAAGTCCTTGCAGATCACAGCATTCCAGTGGTCTGCCTCATTAAACACCTGATCCAAAATATCAGCAAATTGGCAAGGCATTCATGAATTGAATTCAGAGTGTTAGATAAGGGAAAGCACTACTCTCCCCATAGATGTGACCCAGAAGGAACGCAGTGTGTGTGGGGGTGTTGTGGCACTCCGGGCTCTGTTTCAGACTTTTATTTTATGTAAAACTCTTTGTAAAACTCAGACTCAGTGTGACAAAGCCTTGCTTGCTCCCATTGGTACAAATGGAAACTGAATATGTTACTGCTGAATGTGTAACTGCTTGCGGTCTTAAATAATGAAAATATCAATAATTTTATCCCAAATTATTGATTTTTTAAACTCATCCCAGCCCTAATAATAGTTCATTATCTGCAGGAAATGTATGAAATGTTTTATGGGGATCTGTGGTAATTAATGCAAAGTTTGTGTTATTGAAAAATACAGTTATCATCTTCTACAGAGGTGTCTTAATTAAGCAATAATTGCATAAGAGCTTTTGGTGAAGTGTGGTTCATCTTGTGACAGTGTACATACTGTGTTCCATTCCAGATCCAGACCTGTACAAAATAATTAATTTGGATGCAAAGAACGTTGTAATGTTTGCCAAGGAATACTTACCCAGAGACTGGAAAGAGACTCAAGGTCATGTGAAATGGAATTATGCTAAAGATGGTCATCCACCAAAGACATGGCTGACAGAATTCTGGAAATTTCTGAATGCTCACTGGGAGGAGTTAAATGAGTTCATTGGCATGCCTTTAATACCTCTGGAACCACTTAAAAAAACAAGCAGTTCTACACTGTTAGCAAAGTTGGAGAAGAATCCCACTTTGATCTTTCAGAGCAGCAGAGAGTCCACCTTGCCAGATCAAATTCAGAAGGTGGTGAAGGTAGTGGGAGGCACAGTCATTAAGAAAGATGAATGTCTCAAGCACCATGACATTGAAAGTTATGTTCTCACAACTTCACCAAAGAACATACTGCAAGTACTTTTGAACTTAGACAGTGACAAGGTCATTAGCGGCATTGCTTCTGCTTCACTTCATGAAAAAGAAGAGTTTAAAACATATATCTCTTCTATGGATTGTATCTGTGATGCTGAAAATCAGTTACTATCAGCTCTGCCTCTCTTCAGATTAATGTCTGGAAAATATGTTGCTGTCGAGTCAAGACAGGCAGTTATTTTAAAGTCTAACCCACCCATCCCAACAGATTTGCCTGTGCCGGAGACCATTGTGCAGTGCGCAAATGAAGCAGACCGTAGACTTTTGATACTCCTAAAGGTTGACCTTCTGGATGCAGCTCAGCTGGCTATTCACTTAGTAGGCTGCATTGAAAGAAAGGCTTTCAACAAAGAGGAGGAACAGAAAATAATGACTTGGATACTGGATCATGGAAATGTCCTACTCTCACAAAGTGAGGAACTGCTCAGGAAAAGTAGGAATCTCAGTTTCATTGAAACGGAACACGCGGAGCGCAAGCAACCATCAAGTGTCCTCGATCCCACAAATAAAATCTTCCAAGATCTTTTTGAGGAAGATTTCTTTCCTCCACAAGTGTACAGGACCCACGTGATTCTTCAGAGCTTGAAACAACTTGGTTTACGAACAAAAGAAGAAGAAATATCCCCAACAGATATTCTTCATGTTGCCTCACAAATTCAAAAGCTCCATATCCACTCTCGAAATAAGGCTTTCAAAAAGGCGGACGCTCTTGTAGGAGTATTAAACAGAAATGACTTGCTTTCAAAATTTTCTGAGGAAGAAAGAGGAGACCTTCTTCAAATGCAGTGGGTGCCTTGTGAAAATCCAAATTCAGTAAGCCGTAACAGTAAGAACAGTCAGAAGAGGGGTCTTTATAAACCATCTGAAATAAGGGCTTCAAAATACTTTGCTATTGTGGGGCATGTCATGCCACTTACCTCGGAGCTAAGGGAGGGTGTCTGCCAAAAACTTGATCTTTTTATCCCTCCTCCAGCTGAAAAGGTCTTGGAGAACCTTTGTGTACTGGGATCAATGGCTCCACTGCTGGTCAACCCAGATTCGGATTATGAATTTAAGAATAAGGTACACAGCACTTACAAATTCATGCAGGAACACACTGAATATTTCAGAGAGGAGATGAACAAGAAATGCATTGCTTGGCTCTGGTGCCAGAATGAGTTTGTCTCACCTCGGGATGTAGTGCTGGTCTATCCGGATGAATTAGATCTCAGCCTTTACATCAAGAAAGTACCAGAGGAATTTTTGCAGTATGCTGACATGCTGAAAGAATTTGGTGTAAAGGAGACACTCTCTGATGAGGAGATCCAAGACATATTCCATGACATAAAACAAAGCATTGATGATAGAGATCCACCTTTTGGGGAGCCCTCTGAACTTAAGGTGTCAATAGCCATCCTTGATTGGATGCGGAAGAATGAAAAACCTTTGAAGACCAATACACCTGTGCCTGTCCGAGCAGAAAACCAAAACTTCACCCTAGAGCCTCTGAAGAACACGGTTTACTGTGACATCAGTGATGAAGGGTTAGAGGACCTGAGACAAGACAAGGAGGAGTTCCATGTAATTCATGAAGAGGTACTAGGTCTCACAGCTAAATGGCTCAAAGTTCCTTTCCTAAGTACCCGTATTTTAAAACCACAGTTCATAAGAGCTGAAGAAGAGTGTCCAGGAATTGAGCAGTGTGGGCAGACAGAACCAATTACTCAGAGAATCAAAAACATACTTAAAGAGTATGACGAGGTTAGTGACATTTTCAAAGAACTCATACAAAATGCAGAAGACGCCGGAGCAAGTACATGTGGATTCCTACTTGACTTCAGAACACACCCTCCTGAAAGCCTCATTGATGACGGAATGGCCCTATGCAATGGACCCTGTCTTTGGACCTTTAACAATGAGCTCTTCTCAGATGAAGATTGGAAAAACATTGTCAGAGTTGGTTCTGCCTCGAAAGAAAACAAAATTGAGAAAATTGGAAACTTTGGACTTGGGTTCAATGCTGTTTATCACTTGACAGATATTCCATCCATTTTGAGTGGTAAAAGTCTTCTCATTCTCGACCCAAATGTCACCCACCTGGAAAAGCACATACATAGTAAAGCAAATCCTGGAATTAAACTTGACTTGTTCCAAGAGAGGCTGTTTAGAAGGTTTCCTGGACAGTTCCGATCTTATCAAGGAATTTTTGGTTGTGATCTGACAAAGAGTAGCCAGAACTACTACAAAGGTACACTGATTAAATTACCATTTCGCACTTCAGAGGAGGTCTGCAAGTCAGAAATTAGCTGCAAGGTGTACGACAAAGAGGGCATACGTGCTTTTCAGCAGCACTTCACTGATGATGCCCAAAGTCCCCTGCTATTTCTTAAAAACATAAACTCAGTGTCTCTTCAAATCATTTCTGAAGGTGCTTCCACACCTCCACTACAGACACAAATTCAGACACTCCTCAGAATCTCCAAAGAGGTAGTTTGTTCCATGAATATATCAAATGAAATGCATGTTGAAGACATCAGGAACGCTATGGAAAATGTGGACTCAAATTGCCACAAAGTTGTTGATTGCTTTACTGCACACATTGAAGAAATAGTTTATGAGCATGTTGACAGAACCACCAACCAGTACTGGCTCCTCTACTCTTGTTTAGGGACAAAGGATTCCATGCGAATGTTTCAGAGAGAATTACAGGAGTGCAAGTTTTCTCTTCCAATTGGAGGAGTTGCTGTACCGCTACAAAAAGAAGCAGAAAATGTTTGGTCCCCTGATGAAAGTTGTGCAGTTGGCCAGGCCTTTTGTTTCCTTCCTCTTCCAATTGAGACAGGCCTCCCAGTTCATCTCAATGGGTCTTTTGCAGTCACATCAAACAGAAAAGCTCTCTGGCAAAGTGGTACAAAACTGGAGTGGAACAAAGCATTACTCCAAGATGCTAGTGCCACTGCCTATATCACCACACTATTGGAGTTAAAGAAGATGGCCCAGAACGGGAATCTTCAAAACTATGATTACTACACATTTTGGCCTGATGCTAAAAAAGTGAGTAAAGCCTTTCAACCCTTGGTTTCCGCTTTTTACTCAGCCATTACACAGCGCACAACTGACAGATCTTTTGAGCTCTTCAGTAATGGACAAAGCTGGTGCTCAATTGACAAGGCAAGATTTCTGGATCCAGAGATTGAGAGACAAAAAGCAGTGGGAGAACTTGCCATAAAAGTATTCCTGAATGATACAGAATCAAGCTACTGTGCTGTTCCTTTACCATTGTGGGTGAGAAATAGCTTCATTCAGTGTGGTTTCCGTGAGGTGGTAGAAGAGAGGACATTTCATTGGGTTGAGTTCTATCAAGTTGTTTTCAAGAACTTAAACAACATGGATCCACACTGTAGGAATGCTCTTATTTTGAATGCGATTGATTTGAATGACCATGGAGTTGATGCATTACTGAAAAGTAACCCATGCATTGCAACACAGAAATCTGACAAACTTCAGTTCATCAGCAAACTTGTGAATCCTCATGGCAAAGTAGCATGCATGTATGATCCAGAGGAAGGGCGCTTTCTTGATGGGACCAAAAATGACTACTTCACACCCAGAAGAATCCAGCGCCTTTCAGGCTTGGGAATGCTGAGTGACACTCTCACGTTGGAAGATGTTGTAGAGAGAGCAAAGACAATTTCAAGAGCTTGGACTGAAGATCAAAAGAAAGCACAGAAATGTCTCCAGTGTCTCTTTGACTGCATGAAGGAACATTCAAATGATGACCGCTCTCCACACTGGGAAACACTGAAACACATATCATTCCTTCCTGCTCGGATTATCGATCAGGATAATAATGTGACGACCAGACTCAAAAAGCCATCTGAAGTCTACAGTTACTGGTACTATGATTTGGTGAACATGACAGAATTCAGTGCTGATCACTTAAATCTACTTATACAGCCTAACGACCCAGTCCTCACAAAATTGGGAGTGAATAAGACCCTACCAGTCAAGACAGTGCTCAAACAATTAAAAGAGGCACATGATCGTTCGGATACATTTAAAAAAACAGTGCTTCTTAATGTTGCCAAAAGCTGTTACAACTATCTCAACAAATATTTGATTGATGGAGGAGATCCTGCTGCTATTATTGACCATGCACAATCAATCCCATTTGTTCTTATCGAAGGCCACTTTGTAAATGTGCAGTCAATTGCCAAGAGTGGGGGATTTGAGGAAAAGCCTTACCTCTATGTCCTTCCAGCCATCTTCTCTCAATTTGAGAATCTTTGGAACTGTGTTGGCATCAAAAATCAGTTTACAGCAGAGCAGTTTGTTGCTGTACTCCAGGAAATAAGTACTTTTCCTGGACCACTTTCAAAGTCAGGTCTTCATACTTGTCTTTCCATAGTCGTAAAAGGACTGTATGAGGCAAAGGTTGAACTTAGAGACTGTCTTCTACCTGATGAAAAAGGTGTGCTGACACATGCAAGTAAGCTTAACTATAATGACAGCCCATGGATGCCAGTGCAAGCTGGGGTAAAGCTTTGCCATAAACTAATACCTCGGTCTGTTGCATGTCATTTTGGTGTAGTAACAACAAGACACCACACTCTGAAGAATCATTTAGTTGGTGGGTTTTGCCCTTTCACTCAAGAGTTTGGACAACATGAGAAACTAACTGTTAGACTAAAGAACATAATGGATGCATATCCATCCAAGAAAGATATCCTGAAAGAACTCATACAGAACGCTGATGATGCAGAGGCAACCGAAATCCACTTTGTATGGGACAAAAGACAGCACAAGACTGAACAAATATTTGGAGAGAAATGGAAGTTGCTTCAAGGTCCAGCCCTTTGTGTGTACAACAACAAGAAATTTTCAGATGAAGACTTAAAGGGCATTCAGCAACTAGGGAAAGGAGGAAAACATGGCACATTGGGCAGAACTGGGAAATTCGGACTGGGTTTTAACTCTGTTTACCAGCTGACTGACTGCCCCTCTATACTAACTGGTGATGAAAAGCTCTGTATATCTGACCCAAATCTGGAATATGTGGAAAGTGGTACAAAAGAGTCAGCAGGCTGCATGTATTTAATGGATGACAAATTCAAAGAGTCTTTCAAAGATGTTTACCATACATTCCTTCCCGAAAAATTTGCTGTTCAGTCTGGAACCATGTTCAGATTTCCCCTCAGGACAGAAACAATGGCAGAGAAATCTGAGATATCTAGACATGTAGTTACAGATCATGAAATGCAAGAACTTATATATGCTTTGACTGAAGATCCTGAGGGACTGATTCTTTTCTTGAAGCACATCACAAAAATACAGTTCAGTATTGTTAATACAAATGGAACTGTACAGAATGTTTTCCTAATTGAGAAAAAAGTCACAGAGAGTGTTCAAGAGGAAAGGGAGAGTTTTCATAACCATGTCCGTAATTCTCTCAAATCTGGGCAGGTAATTCCATGTCAAACTATCTATAACATGCAAATCTCATCTGGAAAAAAGCACAGCCAGTGGATTATTGCTGAACGTTTTGGCCCCCTTCTGCAAAACGGGAAAGAAGATGGCAATTCCAACTTCAAAGTACCTCAGGTGGCCCTGGCAGCTTGTGTAGACACAAAACCAGCCGAGGCTGAATTCACTGGAAGAGCCTTTTGCTCACTTCCATTGCCTGTTGAAACTGGTCTTCCTGTGCATGTGAATGGGAACTTTGAAGTGGATGATTCCAGAAGAGATCTGTGGAAAGAGGATGCTGAAAGTTTGAAGACCAGGTGGAATCAGTCACTGAAACTGAACACAATTGCACCTCTATATGCTGACCTCCTAAACCATGTCTGTGCAAACTTTAAGACAGATAAACCATACGTATTAGCATTGCTCAAACCAGAACTGGACTCTTGTTTCAGATACTTTCCATTTGTGTCAGAAAATGTCACTCAGGTTTGGCATGAGATGATCAGTGAAGTTTATAGATCAATTTACCAACAAAATCTTCCTGTGATACCTACTTTAAGAAGTGTTGCTGATGACCACTCGCATCTCTCAAATCCAAAGTACATTGTTAACTGGTCCACTGTCTCAAAGCCAGACCCAACAGATTTACCTTATTTCATGCCACAAAGCTACAATAACATTCTTCAAGTTTTGGAGCACACTGGAATGAACTTGGTACCATACTTTCGGAAAATGGAAAAAGTTAAGGACAGTTTTAAAAAAGCAGGTGTGAACGTGGCTGAAGTCAGTCCTTTATCAGTGATCAATTATTTGAAGAAAAAAACACTGAATGATCCCTCACAAACTGCTCATGATTTACCTTTACCTGTCAGCCAGACCTTGCTTAAAGATGCACAGAGTTGTTCAAAGCTCCTGAAATTTTGTCTATCAGATGTGAAGATGTCTAGCACTGTTGACCTTAATGGGCTACCTCTCCTCCTCACTCAAGACAAGATGCTGAGAAAGTTCAGCTCTGACTCTCCAAGGCTAATTTCAAGATTTGCCAACATTTTTCTGGGATGTGAGTCAGAATTTGCAGATTTTTCCATAGATAATAAACACATCAAAATTCTGCTACAGGGGAAATACCTTGAGAAATTAACCATCCCAGTGGCAGCAAAGTTTTTGAAACCAGCGATTCAGCAACTGCTGCAAAATTCAGTGCCAAATCAAAGGAATGGGCTTTATAGAGCAGAGAAAGACACCTCATGGTTGAAAAAACTGTGGGAATTGTTTGATGAGCAAGCCAAAGAGAACTCACACTTTCAGTTTAGTGAAATAAAAAAACACTTTTTTGACAGTCCAGTTTTGCCTGTCATTTGTCAGAAGAACACACATTTCCTACAAACGTTCAGTAATCTATATAGTGTTGTTCCTGATCTTGGAGAATACACTTCTTCCATTTCTTCCATTCTTCTAAAACTTGGATTTGTGACATTAGACCGCACATTTTTCTTAGGTCTTGCTCAGTTGCTGCACAAATATGTGGAACCAGAGCTCTTGAAAGTCAGAGACACCAGTGCTGTTTTGGAGCAGTTGTATCAGGTTCCTCATTCACAGTTTGAGGTGCTTTCTGCTGGTGATGCTGATGACGTTCAGCATTACTTGCAATCTGGCATCAGGTCCTCCAAAAACACAAATGACTATCAGAGAAAGCTCAAGTCCTTGCCCTTATTTGAAACAATATTTGGAAAGCGACAACGAATTGATTTGCACCAAGATGTATTCATTCTGACAACTGAGTTCCAAACAAGGTTTCCAGACTTGTACAATTTTAATGACAGCAATGTAATTTTCCTCAAGTGCAGTCTTGTAAACAAAGGACTGTCAGAAAGTCTCAACATTCAGTTTTTAGGGGACGTGGAGTACTGTGTAAAATTCATGCTTCCCTCAGTAGGCAAGCTCAAAGAAGCTCAGCTGCTTGATTTAGTAAGGCTGCTATTGGAGCTGAGACAAAAATCAGATTATGAGAATTACCAAGACAGAATTGTTTCAGCATTGAGGGGTGTCCAGTTTATTCGTGACATCCATGATTGCCTTCAGATGGCCTCATACTTCTTTGATGACGATATAGACCTTTATAAGGTTATGCTTCCAGAAGAGAGGTTTGTGCCAAAGGCATTTTGGAAACTATTCCAAAGTACAAGTGATGGAGCAAAAAGCCTTCTAAAGGAACTAGGACTAAAACATAAAGTGTCAGAGGAGGAAATAATTGAATTTGCACATCAAATTGAATCAGATTCTAGAGGTAACACTGATCTGGATGTTCTTAAACAGAGATCATCAACACTGTTCGAGGTTGTTTTGCATGAGAGTGCTGAGAAAAAATCAAAGTTGATGCAGAAAATAGCAACCATCAAATTTGTATTTCCTGTGCAGATTGAATCAGCACTTTGTGATTATCACAAAGCTTTTGCTCAAGTAAGAGATGTTGTTGCTATTAAAGGATCACTGTTGGAAAAAGACTTTGGTCACCAATGTCTCATATGGACTGCCATGCCAATACTGCCCTCAATAGACTCTCCAAGACACATAGATGCCTTGAAGTGTGCTGGAGCTTTGGATAAACCTCCTTCAGAGCAAGTCATGCAGAATTTAAAAAATATCTGTAAATCCTTGTGCAACACTGAAGCTTTACTAGGTACAAGAGCTACAGTGTTCAGCAGCTCATATGCGTACCTACAGTCTGTGGATTTTGATGCTTCTGTTTTGGCTGACATCTCTGTCATTCTCACTGAAAATGACACAAACCTTGTGAAAGCCAGCCAAGCAGTCCTTTCGCTATCAAATCCAAATGAGTTTAGGCCTTACTTATACCCCATTCAAGGGAAACATGCAATGTATGCAGAATTCTTCAAGAAGATTGGGGTTGAAGAGAAGCCTACAATTACACAGTTGTGTACTGTTCTACAGGAAATCCACACAGAGTGTTGTAACAAGACAACACTTCAGCCAAACCAGCAGACAACAGTGAAACGTGTTGTACAGCAACTTTTCTGTCTGATAAAAAATGACTCAAAAGGAACTACTTTTCCCAAGAACACGCTCTATCTCCCATCAACAGATGGGAAACTCTACGAGTCCAGCACATTGTTTTTCAATGACACGGTCTTTCAGGCAAAAAGATTGGAGGACTCACTTAAAACAAAGCTGAAGCTGCTTGAGAAGCTACACCACTGTCACCTTGGAAATGACCACTATGAACATCAAAAACTGTTGCAGTTGCTTCCTCAAAAAATTTGTCCCAAGCTCCTCTCTCAGGTAATTTCTGAACACCTGGTTGGCGTGCAGGTGCAACGCTGCGACTACCGAAAGGAATGTGAATTCAGTGGCTGGTTTGAAAAGCACTTGTCCTCTCATGCGTTTCGTCATGGTCTTATCTGTTTGATCAGAGAACAGAGCAATGGTACAGTTTCACAAACTGATGCTGCACAGATGTGCGAAAACATATTTGGTAAAATTCAAATCATCTGTTGCAGAACTCTCCGAACTGAGCTTTTGTTATACCAGGAGCCACTGGAAGGTACCCAGACTGAAACACAGGTTTATGTGCAAAAGCAGCACGGTGGGTGTATCTTCTATTTGAAACACAATGATAGCATGGCTCTCAAAGTAGTGAATGAAGTCACCATGCATCTTACCAGAGAAATCAATAGTCTTCTTCAAAACATCCTGAACTCCTTAAGCCTACCAGTCCTCGGGCAGCTTTTGTTGTGTGAAAACATGGAGGACGTTGAAAGAGCATTGGAACAAAATGGAATCCATAACAGTGTAAGTGAGGGAGAGGGGTTTGGTGCCCGTCCAAGTCCTGGAAGTCCTATACCAGAAGAATGGCATGATTGCCTTGATATGAGCCCCCTCAACAGTTTTGAAAAAGGGGAATATGTTGGCTTCAGAAAGGATGAATCAAAAAGTGAATATGTATTTGCCATCATTGCAGAACGTCTGGATGAGCTGCCAGGAGGGACCCAACGAAATCCTCCAAGATATAAAATTCAGATTGGGAATGACAAGTTTATTGAAGTAAGTGCCCTTGATCTTTATCAGTTTAAAAGAGAAGCAAGAGCTGGGAGTGATGAGTTTATTGAAGTGAGCTCCACTGATCTTCATCAGTTTAGGAGAGAAACAAGGTCAGCTTCAATGACAAATGACAGCTGCACAGAAATAGACATTATGCCAAAGCCTGCCACAGCCTCACAGAAGAGGCCTACACCAAAGACACTGGAGGAGGTCAAAAGAGAGATTGACCAAAGTCTGAAAGAAATCTGGAACATGTCTCCAGAGGACAAATGTAAAGCCCTTAGACGCCTTTACTTAAGGTGGCATCCAGACAAGAACTTGGACAACCCAGATCTTGCCAATGAAGCCTTCAAATATCTAAAGAACAAGATTGATGAGCTGCAGCAAGGGAAGACTAAATGCAGCACATTCTCCAGTTCGAATGACTTTAGAGATTATTGGTCCAGATGGAATGAAGAGGCCAGGAGTCACAGGAGGGGGCGAGAGCGATTCTATCAGAATAATTCCAGACAGTATTATAATTTCTGGTCGTACTATAGAGATACACCAAGGCCAAACAGAGAGGAAGCCAAGCGATGGTACAAACAAGCACAGTTTGACCTCAATGCTGCTCAAAGTGAAACTACAGGCAAAGGGAGCCCAGAATGGTGTCTGTTTAAAGTGCATCAGGCAGTTGAAAAAGCCCTGATAGCCACAGAGTACAGGAGAAGTGGCCAGCACTCAGGGAACTGCTCGATTGCAAGCCTTGCCCAACAGATTTCCCGTTACAGTACCCACCTCGGTGGTATACCCAGTGATGTAGCCCAACTCAGTGCCCTTGGTGTTGATGCCAAGAAAACTCAGTACCCAAACTACCACCCATCACCCCACATACCACACGAGCAGTTCAAATTTGAAGATGCAAGAAAGGCAGTGAACATTGCAACGGAGCTGCTGACGAAACTCGGCAAATATATTACTGATTGAATGATTTGTATATTGGGTTAACAAAAAAGTGTAAATGGAGCAGTATCATTATTCTTTCTGATCAAAATACAGAACTGCTGTAGAAATTCACAAGTAAAATGGTGATTAATCCTGTTCCTTGTTTATTCCAGTTCTTTTGTAGTTGTTGCTTCTACTTATTGCAACTCTCCTGTTTTTTTATATTCTTTTCATTCATTATGCATTATTGATTTTCATTATTGATTTTCTTCTGATCCTTTTGTAATTGTCTCAATAATAAATAATACATGTTAAATGTAAACTCTGTTTCTGAGTTACTGTGTGGTGCTTTTTAGTGTTGTATGACCAATACTGCAGTCCTACATGTCGTCAGTAATGTTGATGTTGCTGTTAGAAAACTTTGCATCTCCAAAACATGCATTTTTCGGGAGGAATAAAATACTTTCTGCTTTAGTTTAACAATTGCAAAACTTGCAAAATACCTAGCAGACATATCATGAAGAGTGCCTGACTCCAGTTTATTTAAAAAGCCACTTTTTCACACCAGGGGGTGACTTCACAGTTTACTAAGTACACTTAAACTACCGTCCAAAAGTTTGGAGTCACTTTTTATATTATTAATTATTAAGCCGCTTTGAATATATAGCTTAGACATAGCAGTGTGTGGTGCTGATATGAGTGTATCAGACACACTTTGTACCAGCACCACAATTACTACTCAAATAATATCTGGTCAGTAGTGGTCTTATGGTGGTCCTGATGGATGAGGTACAGGGGAGCTGGTAAGTTATGCAATGCAACTGCAGCCTAATAAACTGGCAACTCGGCTGTTTATGGTGCCTTTAAATGTGGTTTGTGTCTTAAACAAGACTAAGCAAGCCTTATTTCACTGAACCAACTTTGGCTGCATTGCATTTGTCTGGCAAGTGTCTATGGTACAGATTGTAAAAAGAAAAAACTTCACGTGACGTTTGTTTAATGTTTTAGTCCAGCTGCCGGGTGTGTCTGGTTGAAAGCAAAACTTTACCATCCACTCAATTTTCTACACACACGGTCAACAGAACATGATCATACTACTTCCTGAGTGAACCCATTAAGACAGATTTAGCTAGCTCTATAGCTAGAGCTATAATAACAGACTAAGCATAGCACAGCTTATATTAGCATTATTTATAAGACTCTAAGTCCATTTCTATGAGCAGACCGACTCATAAACGTCTACAGTTGCCCATAATCATGTGCAGAGCCAAGGAAAATGTACATGTTCTCCTGAAAGTGAAAAAATATGACCAAAACAGTCGTTCTCTATGTGCTAGCTAGCATAAGTGCTAATGGTGCTAGTATTATTTCTTTGGAGCTACCCAGCTAACGTTACTGGCAACCTCATTACAAAGTGATAGTTCACAGAAACGTCTAGTTATTTATAATCATATGTCAAGGAAATCTCACACTTCTCTTCAGAGTGTAATAATATGAGCAAACCACTCGTTCCATATCTGCTAGCATACCTGCTAATGGCGCTAGCATTGTAGCTCTGGAGCTAGCTAATGCTAATTTGAAGACCTCCTTATAGTTCTAAAAGCGATTGACATTAAAATGTTATTCGACTTTACATTTTTGTGTACACAGTGGTCACGTATTAGTGATTGGTGACAGCATCCTCACCTGGAACAGTAAAATTAGCTAATAAAGCTGCTTTAAGGGCAAGAAGAAGGAAAACTCTCCAGCTGAAGTCACACGCAGCTCGAGCTCAAACACAGTAGCATGACTCGCTGTTGTGTTACCCTGCGTTCACACCGGCTGACAAAGCGGCCGGAGGTCAATCATTTTCAATGAGAGCTGGCGATTTCTGGAGACAGGAGGCGGCGCGAACGTTGGCGACATGACGAAGGTGAGCAGAGTTTAACTTTATGCAAATAAGGAGCGAATCGACGTAAGGACGACCAATAGAGAAGTTGTAGAGAGGAGAATTACCACTATGCAATGGATTGCGGTTTTCTCAAACGCTAGAGGGCGCTCCCGAGCGAGACCAAAATGAATGGGTTGATATGGAGCATTTGAGCAAAAAACAATTTATAAATGCTTAAACATTTTTAATGTAAAAGAATACAATCATTTCCTGATCACAGATCAGCATAAAACATTTAACACTGCTGTTATATTTTTAAGAGCTTTTAAACTCAAGTTATAGGAGTTTAAAACGGCGCCTCATGTACGTTCATGACGTCGTGAGCGCGAACAGCCAATGAGCTGCTCTGCTCACTCTGACGTTGCTACGTCAGAGTAACGAGCTCCGCCCACTCGCTGCACAGCCGGCAGTTCGTTCTCCAGCTCCACACAGACCGACTGACAGTTTGGGAATTTAGTGTCGTCTCATCTTCAGAGTCTGACCAAATCGGCTGTCGGTCAAATGTGATCTTAAAAGTGTTCATTTTCTGTTTGTGGCAAAGTAAGAAGTAAAAACGTTCAAATGTCCTGAGCGTCTCCTACAGCGGTCAAAGTCGTTGCTTAGCAACAGCGTCTCAGCGGAGTGATACAGTGTTTGTGAAAAAAAGTGATGTTATGGTGAAATAACGGCACAGTTAGAACGCTGCTCAACCAATCAGCTTGCGTGGCCGGAACTAACTGTTGTATAAAGTAAAACATTACATACATACATACATACATACATCATCTAAACCGCTTATCCTTCTGGGTCGCGGTGGGGTGCTGGAGCCTATCCCAGCTGTCATTGAGCGGAAGGCAGGATACACCCTGGACAGGTCGCCAGTCCATCGCAGGGCAGACAGACATACATATACAATCACACACACACTCACACCTAGGGGCAATTCAGCATTTCCAATTGGCCTGACTGCACGTCTTTGGACTGTGGGAGGAAACCGGAGTACCCGGAGGAAACCCACGCAGACACGGGGAGAACAGGCAAACTCCACACAGAAATGACCCTGGTCGACCGGCTGGGAATCGAACCCAGGCCCTTCTTGCTGTGAGGCGACAGCGCTACCCACTGCGCCAATAAAACATTACATGTCTTTGTATTGTTTCTGTTTAATTAAAGAAAATGGTTCTATATAGAACCATGAACATTGAACGAACCCTTCGCATGATTAAAGGGTTCTTTGCATTGTCAAAGCGTTCTTCAGATTGATGGAGAATGTGCTGTAGATGGTTCTATATAGCACCAAAAAGGGTTCTTCTATTGTTACAATGTCAAGCTTTTTACAATAGAAGAGCCCTTTTCTAAAAGGTTCTATATAGAACCATCTACAGCAAATTCTCCATCAATCTAAAGAACGCTTTCATGATGCTGCGAAACCTTTAATCATGCAAAGAGTTCTTTGAATGTTCATGGTTCTATGTAAAACCATTCTCTGTACTAAAGAACCCTTGCAGGACCATGCTTTTTAAGAATGTAGCATGTAATGTTATGTACAAACCCAGTTCCAAATTATTTATTTATTTATTTATTATGGCTGGTGTTGGAGGAAAACCTTGTATCTCCATTTTTGTCGTTTTTCAGTTTTTGACATAATTTGAGAATACCTGTTGGTCTTTACATTGGGTGTGAATTTAATGAAGAATGGACCAAAAGAAATGGCCCAAAATACCATGGAAAAAATTCTTACATTAAAAATAAAGTAGGTTTTTTCAGTCTCCTGTAAAGTTACCATTTTGGGAGATAAGGTTCTCTTCCGACAACAGCGATATATATATATATATATATATATATATATACATATATATATATGTGTGTGTGTGTGTGTGTACAAGCAAACTTAACACTATTGCACACTGAAATGACGTTGTATGAAAGTGAGTCTACTATATATACAAACACTGCAGCTTAAACCCAGCAACTACCACCCTGGACGATGCTGGCTGGTTTGAGTGGGGAATTCTGGTTATTCTTCCAGTCTTATGACGTTAATCCAGTGTGGATCAGTGTTAGCTTGCATTCAGCTGCATTGCACAGTTCAAACATGTCAGGTTTGGAACATTTCTGTTTACCACAGGGGGCGACAGCAGCCATTTTCAAAAACCGCCATTCATTTTCCCCAAAGAGGTCAACAGCTTAGACCTGGGATTCCTAATATGGGCATGACGCCACCTGCTGTGCTGTCTGCAGGAGGCAGATCTGATCCCTCAATCCAGTCCCACATTTATAAAATAACCAACAGTCCATTAAAATCAAGTTATTTATTAAGAAATCATGTTAACATAAGACAAAAAGCCATGTCAGCCAAAACGATTCGTCAGTCTTTGAGGCCGGCGAGGAAACCACGGCAAAAACATTCACACCTGCATGTGCTTTACAATCCTGGAAGCAAAACCAGTCGCTGCGTCCCCAAAGTCTGTTACAATAACAAAATAATAATGATCATCATCATCATGAGTGTTTAATCGTGTTCGGCCGAGAAAGAAGAGGTTAAATTTGGGTTAGCTCAGAGACGTCTCCTCCCAAAACCATTTCTAGAGTGTACGGTGCCCAGTAATAACTTACACAAATTCTGTACATAATTACAGCAGGCTAACTGAGGCCTGACATATAAGTGGTCAACCACACACAAACAAAACAAAACAAAAGAATGCAGCCGTTGACAGAAGTGGTCTCTTTACAGTGCTGGCCTACTCATCATACAGTGAATGAGTCTGAAAAATACAAGGGACTATTATTATTACACTTTATAACAAGCCCTGAAACAAAGCTTTACTGTAGATAGCCCATGAACCCTCACCTGCAGTGGTCATTATTTAGTTTCCTGAAGTTACTTTGCCCTCTCTAATCATGTTTGGTAGGTTTGTTTAGGAATTGATGTGCTGAAAAAAGTGCAAAAGTTAGCCTTCTTCTCCACCAGTAAAGCACAGTACATGAGTGACTTTGGAAAATGTCACCGATACATTCATTAAAGAGCGAAACAAGCTAGTTTAGGCATGAAAGACATACAAGATGTGGGATAACATGAGCCAACGACTCGGATTATGTTTCAAAGTAAACCCGCCAAATCAGGCCTCTACACCCTGAATATGACTTGCACTGCACCTCCCATCCCCTCCACCTCCACCTCCACCCCCCCCAAACCTGAAAACTCAATCATAACAGTATGAAAGAAATGAACTGTCCACAGGCAACTGGAAATATTTAAGGCTCACATTGAAACGCTAAACAAGGAATGCATAAGCGTCATGTTTGTGTTGATGCCATTGGTTTCTAATATCTACAGTTTTTCTCAGTCGCTCACTCACCATCACCCAAGATATACACGACCCTCAGCGGCTGAACCTTGTGTC